GCTCATTTACTTCTCCCTTAATTTGCCAGAATTCGAAGTTCGCTCATTTACTTCTCCTGTAATTTGCCAGAATTCGAAGTTCGCCCACCGGCTTACGTAGATGAATAAACCCACATGTGGTTTAATATACAGTATCATGAAATGATAAACGCACAAACATATATACATTTTCGTTATGTATATTATACACGTACATTAATGCTTATCATATGCTATGAAACGCTGAGAAAAAAACTGTTGCGTAATTAGAAAATGGAGTTAATGAATTATTTTTTTGTCCACAATTGCTCTGCACAGCTTACTATAGATTAGATTCTGATTTTTGGAAATATGGAGTTTAACCATTTTACTACGATTTAATCTCCAATAATACGAATTGCAATTATAGCCGAAACGGGAGCGAGAGCGAGAGAGAGAGCGAGAGAGAGTGAATACGAGAAACAGCGGAAGATAGAAACATTTATTACAAAGCACACATGTTTACATGAATTTTCAGAAATACTTTTAACAGTTTGAACATCAACGCAAATTATTTTTACTTTTCTCGATACAAAAAGAGTTTAAAACTTTTTCTCTATCTGGAAGAGAAAACTATCCTACCTCATATCCGAAACTACCTTAGCTCATATCCGACGTTTTAGCTATTTTAAAACGAAGATTTACAGGAGTGAAGTCTTTTTAATCGGGTTTGTCAATAAAGCGATCTTTATATAGTCCGAAGCAATCGTAATAAATCTTCTTGATTTCATTTGTAAACATTCAAAGAGAAAGAACATATTTATAAGAGCGGTATTCCCAACAAATTCTTCGGTCGGTCGGCACAGGGTTTAATTTTAATTGAGATGTCAGAATGTTATCCCTTTTTAGATAACTCCGTCATGGGAGGAAAGAGGTGCTTTAAGGAATCTTTTCCCATAATTGTAGTTAAAAAATGAGATCACATTTCCTGTTGAAAAGTGAAGCTGAAATGAGTTGAAGAAAGCAATGAAATTTGCTCATTGAAAACAATAGTAAAAGAATAAAAGCAAAACTGTGATATAAAAGCGTTACACATGAAATGTATATCTTTAAGGGCAAATTTGAGATAGAAATACAAATTATTTGTTTCTTCCTGTTTGGCTGCATCGTCAATGATTTTAAGCAAAGTTATTTGGCAAAACCAATATATGAAGTGACTTACAGCGTGAACGCGTTATTAGATCACTTTATACGTGTATTTTTAAGTAAATCTTAGTAATATCGCTTACCTGTGAATTTGGCAACACCTTTGAAACTAATATCATCAATGATTATCGGCTCGGAACGACCTTTAGCATTAACAGCAAATATAATCATTCGATATAAAGCAGTTGGATCCAGATTATCAATAAAAAACGTAACCGGGCTGGTAGTATGCTTTAAATTACAAAAAAAAAATAATAATAATAATAATATTAAAAATTGAAATAAAAAAAAAAAAAAAAATACGTAAAGTCTATCTATTTATAAAATATAAATTTAAAAGTGTATGTTAGCTTAACTTTTAATATATGCTTGATATGACTTGTAAAAAATGATTTTTTTTCTTTTTGTTTTTTTCTTTGTATGTTTTGTGGTTTTTTTAACCAACTTAGCATCATGTTTCCGTTCCACACTTTTTCATCATGACAAATAAAAACTAAAAACTTCTTCTTCGCAACATAACTCAGTTTAAAAAGAAATTATAAAACTTTTAACCTAACAAAAAAATTGCAAAAGTTGATTCTTTGTAACAAAAAAAAAAGACAAAAAAAAGCACAGCTATAAAGGCGAGCTGAGTTTATGGCGCTTCGCAGATATCGAAACGAATAAAAGCCTGACGATGCAAAATTCAAATTGTGCACGTATGGATATATTAAGGTTTTCCAATTCGAGGCTTTTAATAATTAAGAGCTTGTTCAAATTTACACGCAGTCTTCGTGTTAATAAATGCTGGTCCGTCTTGCCATATGTTGAGTTTCCAGCTATAGCCAATGAGATTGGCGACAATGCAAGCCTATGGGACTTCCTGAAGACATTCGTAGAAGATGAGCGGTATTTTTCAAAAATTATCGAACGCTTAGCATGGACAACTTCCTAAGCGATAGGCGGTGACCTAATCGCAGATTGTTAAGGTTCAGACTCTTCCGGTAAAGTATTGTTTTCTCGCCTGATATTCTTCGTGTGATTAACGTTTCTGAATTATTAAGCATTCTTTGTCAGTTAAGTTTCTTAAATTTTTTCTTTCGTTAACATAAAATCAAGTAACTACGGTCCGCTGGAGTATTATATGACTATTCAGATTTCCTCCCAGGTGGTTTAATCTTATTTGAAAAGGGAGAAGCTTAGATCATCGTCTTTATACCGTACAACACTTGTGGTACTGAATACATTAAGCGTGTGTGTGGGAGAAGGGATTAAGGTAGACCCATCTTTTATTATCATGATTCTGAATTGATCTTAGTCTGTCTGTCTGTCTGAAGTCTGCCGATATGTTTTTGTGTTCAAGCTGCAGGTAGGAATTTTTAATATATTTTAGTAAAATTTGGTACAGTGACGTGTTTTGACCCAATTACGAACACTATTGAAAATGTTTCGCATCGACTGCTCCCCATATAGCGCCCTATTCGAAAACGTTTTTATATGGCAAAAAATTGCAATTTTCCGAATTTCTCGGCAAAAGCGGCTAAGTAGTATTTCGACATTCTAAATTGGTATGAAAAGTTTGCAAGGGCCAGGGGAATTTTTGAACCCCCTCTCATATAACGAAAACTGAAGTGCACACGGCCACGAGGTATACCTTTGGATGCTTCATGATCAAAATTCTATCATAATAGTAATTTAACTGCATCAAATTTGTACTATCTCGGCCTATTCTTTGGATCCTATCCTAATAGGGATTTTCACGAAAGGTGATCCTTTGTAGAGCAGAAAAGTCTAAGTTTTACTATATGGTGATGAACATTGTACCCATAATAGTAATTTCATATAAAAAAAAAAAAGAATTTTATTAGATAATGTGGTGCGAGGTAGGTCTGACCCTTGACTATAAAGTTCTTACTTGTTTAATATTCAAATGCTTATGGGACACTCGAAAAGCTTGTCAAAAAAAAAAAACAAAAAAAAAAAATTTTAATTTTAATTCATACATATCGTATCGTTTTGTTTAAACAAATGACAAGAGATTCACTAGATACCGTATAGCCTATATATAGAAGGTAAACTAAATTTGGCATTAACTTTGTGAAAAATTCAACAATTTATTTACTAACTTTCGTTTTATATTCTTTTTATAATCAAAATAATTTTGCAATATCTTTGCAGTATATGTGTACATGATGACACATAGGAGAAAGTTTTGCAAACCATGCAAGTGCGTATTCGCAGTATTACATACATTATTTTATAATTTCATATGCATAACCGTCATACATATGTGATCATGTTTTAAAGTAGATATTGCTACCATAACGTCTATATAAATGGCACATTATCATAAGTGTATATATATATATATATATATATATACATATTATATAATAAGCCCCAACGACCGAAATAATAAAGACATGTGTTTATGATTTTCCATAATGTATGCATGTATTTGTATGCATACCCTGGTTACATAAAAGGGTATATGTATTTTAGTATACACATAAGGGTCTGGGATGTGGTAATAATGGCTGACGAGGCAACTTAAAAAAAAATTTGCCAAAAGATGACATGAAAAAGCAGTAACAATAACTTAACTGCATTTATGGCTTCTTGTCATTTTGCTAAAGTTGTTGGTAAACTTTGCGTTTTCTTCCTTTCTTTTTCCTTTTTCTATTTTTTTGTTTTTTTTTGTTTTTTGTTTTTCTCCCCTTATGTTCTTTTTAAAAACATATCATGTCATTATGACGCTTAAATATGTTACATAAGTTTGTAGTTCACTTTCAAAGTAAAAGCAAAAAAACTTGAGTGTACAAAATTTACGTTGAGAGGATAGCGAGTAGAGTTAGTGTAATACACCTAACTACTTATATATATATATTTATATATATAATATATATAATATATTATAAGGATTGAGGCATACATGGTGAGCATCCTTTAATTTGCAGCACTTTCCAACTTTCGTCATACGCGCGTCATTTTACATTACCTTATTTTGTATATGTGTGCAAGCGCAGGTTGGTTTTTTTTAACGCGTAAAATATGAAGAAATTTAATAAGTTTTTAAGAAATATTTATTTTTGGAACGATATTAGCATATAATATCTGTACCTCAAATTCAGTTTAATTAAGTGATTAATGAATTCGAATAATCTTTAATGCGTGGCTTTAATATGTGGATTTATATAAAATCTGGAACCACACAGATTCACTTGCATTGATTGCTTAAATCGATATAATCATCTTCGTCTGTCTGTCGTAAGCAACCATTTCCAGCAATTAAGTCAATAAATCAATGATTTGAGTATAAAAGTTCCGAGCTTAAAGCGACAGATCACAGTTTAAAGTCATCTGTAAACACCGTCTGGAAGAACTCCGAGAGATATCGAGGGCAAAGAAGCCTATGAGAACGCGTAGTTATGTAACTTTTGGCAAAAGCAGTTTAATTCGCCGATATATTCCCTATAGTATTAAGTTAACGGTAAGTAATACTCTTGACCTTGATTTTGATTTTGATCTTCTTGAGCCGTATCACCGTTCAAACTGTTGAACTGTTAAGCGTGTAACAAGTTTAAATAAATTTTGTAAGGAAATGTTGTTTCCCTTATTTTTTTTGTTGTCGAAATAGGGGTTTATCTTAAACTTGCGAAAGCAGTCCGGATGGGCGGACCTTGTCAATAATTCTATCCGACGTACGATCCGATCTTACGAAAAACGCAGATAATGAAATGAGGATTGCGTTTATATATGAGAATGTATTGAAAGTAAATGAAATGATTGACTATATGACCCTTTCTTAAGGATGATCGCCGCGATTCCATATTGGCCGTTTAGTCTCAGTATAAGTTGTGCAAACAATTGCACACAATGCCCCACACACATCCTGCAAAGGTTTGAGGTGATTGAATAGAAAGTTCGGCGAGACATGCTTTCAAAAAAACATTCGGTCATTACCGAATTTTTAATACCCATCGCCCTTGTCCTGAAAAAAAAACAACTAAATTTTCATAATTTATAATTTTTCCTATTTTCAAAAGTAAAATTGGAAATGTGTATGGAGTGTGTGTATTGTGCAAAAAAAAACACGGAAATCAAAGGTGTTCACAGTTTTATTCCATAGGCGCTAGGTCGCAGTAGGCGTGTTTTTTGATCGGTTTAGTTAACTTTCACTTTGTTTTGTGACAGACAGAAAGTCAGTCGGACGGACGGACGGACTTGCTTAAATCAATTCAGAATTGTATATATATATATATATATATATATATATATATACTCTTTGTGGTCTCTGAAACTTTCTTCTGGGCGTGACATATGTTTTGACAAAATGAATGAACCCCTCATCCTTCCGTGAAGGGTGTAAAAGCGGAAAGAACGAAACATTCCATCAGCCATTTGAAGGAAAGGATATCTAAGTGCTATCAAATGAATAGAATTTCTTTCTTTTTCTATTCTGAATATTTGAGGATAAGCAGATGAACAGACGCAAAGACGAATGTAACGACAGACTATCTTAGCTCATCATTCGCTCTTGGGTTTTCCATTATTTAGTCTTACTTTTCCTTTTAACGGAACTCCGATACTTTTAACTATTTCGCAATAGTTTGGAATTGGTTTTCATTTTAGGTTTTTATAGCTATCAATAATGCAAGATGCAAGATGTGTTCACCAATACAATTTCATTTTGTTACTGGCAAGGAAGCAAATGAAAAGGAGCAAAAGAGTTTTGCGAATACACGCAAAAGACATATATTGAAGAAATCTAAGAGAGAAAGAGGTAAAGAGCGAAAAGCTCTCATAGGCATAGGAAAATGTGAGAACATGTTTGTTCTTTCAATCAGGATAAAACAAACGCTTGTCCTTTTTAATAAAATTTTTCCGCGCAAATGAAACTGTTTGTTGTTGCAACAGACATCAATGATAAATATTCATCATGTCGTTGTTCTTGTACACATGTATTGCTACATGCGATCTTACATTCCGATTTCTCTTCCTCTAATTACTGGTAAAATTTTAATATAATCTATAGCATTTATAGCTTATAGCAATTTTGTTGTTGTTGTTTTTTTTTTTTTGCTGTTAGTGGAGTACATAAGAAATAAATAACATGAAGTTTATTTTTATTTTTATTTTTTTTTTGTTTGTTGGGTAAACTTTTACCATGAGATGAAATGTAAAAACTTATATTCCTCAGCCATTTTGCGTGAGAAAGTTTTTTAATTTTACCAATTGATATGTTGTGCAAAAAAAAAAAAAAAAAAGAAGCAAACGAACGAAAGCACATCTAGAATATTCAACAGAACTTTTGCAACAAAATAGAAAAAAAAAAAAAAACAGAAAACTTTTCATTTCATATATACGGCACGATATGGAACTTGCCAAAGCCTAGAAGCAAAGAAATGAACATAATTAACTAAAGTGTTTAGTTTATACATGTAGTTGGATCGCAACTTGCAATTCGTCATGTATATATATATATATATATACGGATGATGTCCGTATACATATGTATGTATGTATGTATGTATATATGTACATAATCAATTTGAATTTTACCTTTTTGTGCGACAGTTGATTAGAAACTTACCGGTAAAGTTATGTTTCGTGCCAAACGTAGACTGTTCAATTCAACCAATTCCAACATAAAACTTTGTGGTAAACCACCATCAAAGCCTTCAATGCAATCAACTTGTAAAGAATCAGCCGATTGATTACTTATGGTACAATTTTGCAATGGAAACGGTCGTCCTAATAAAAAGTAATGTTTATATATATAAAAAAAATTTTTTATTTATTTTATTCAATTTTTTTTTCTCTTTTTTTTTTTATTTCTATTTCTATTTTGAATTTTTTTTTTTTTTTTTTTTTTTTTTTTCTGCAAACATCAAACTCTTAACATAACTGCATTTGCATTTTGATGCCTTTATATATATAATATATGGTTGAGTAGTACTTACCGGCAGCTACAATTTGAAATATGCAAGGACTCTTTTGCATGCCTATGCTATTGCGAGCCCAGCATGATATAGTACCATAATCCAAATCAGTGGTTGGAGTATAATTTAGACGTGATAAGCCCGTCTGGAATATATGAGAAAATATTATAAATAGCAATGATTTTAAATTGAAAAAAAAAAAAAAAAAATGCTTGCATATGATGAATGCTTACATGATAGATGATACCAAATATAATCGAAAAGTAATAAAATTTTGTACAACTTTTTATGGAATATATTAAATTCATTGGAATGTATGTAACATTCTCAGAGGTTGAAGCGAGGAGCCCACCTTTTACGAATCGATTGAAAACAGTTCGAATCGGACTAATTTTTCGATCTTATGCCATACAATAATGCCTTGCTCTGAAGACCCTTTATATGAAAGAATATAAGACGCTATACGAATATGACTGTGTTAAGCGAAGTGATACTGGCTGTTTAATAGTCGGCTATAACCAGAAAAAATATTTTCACTTTATTTGTTTTTTTTTGAAAAGTAACTTCCATAACTTCAGAAGTTATTTAAAAAAAAAAATTTTTTTTTAATTACAAGTCGAGCAAATAAATTGCGTGGTAATACTCTTAGTAGATATTCTTACAAGCGACAAGGAAAGCATCTTGAAAAGTCGATAAGGGAAGCTATGCTTCTGTTCACGATTTCACTGTACAGACTATTGGAAATATTTTCCATTCATGCATGTGCAAGTCGGATGATTTGGCGCAGTGAAGTTTTTTTTTTACTCAAGAAGGAATGGTATTGAAATTGGTACGAATTGGTCCACTTTTTCGACCATTCCCCTTTTGCAATTTTCAAAGTTTCTTGGCAAAAGTGACTAAGAAGTCGTATATCGATTTTGTAAATTGGTATGAAAACTTTGGAAGGGCGAGGGAAAATTTTGAATCCCCTCTCATAAATACTTTTCAATGCTTCATGATGAAAATTATATCACAATAGTAATTTAAAATAAAAAATTTGGACCATCTCGGCCTATTTTTTTCTCCTTGAAGAAAAGTCTAAGTTTTAATATGCGGTGATGAACATTGACTCATAATAGAAATTTCATACAAAAATAAGAATGGCAATGTGCCAATGTGGTGTAGGGTAATTAATCATCGGCCTTGCTCGATTATAATGTTCTTGCTTGTTGTTATGGGTATCAAACAAACGTCCTTAGAGAATAGTATGCGACAGGCTAAGAGTGTTAATTATGTAAATAAATGCGGGTGGCAACGTGATTTCGTGAAATAATCTTTTCATCAATTAAGTATCAAATAACATGGGATTGTGGAGTAGAACGAGTTGTACAAACTTAACGGAGAAGAAATCTTTGAACATAATAATAAAACGGTCACAGAAATCCACCGAATGAGATTTTTAGAAAGTAGTTGAAGTAAATGTAAATAATTAACTAAAAAAAAAACATTCTTTTAAGAAAACTTTTCTTGAAATCAATTAAAAGTTGAAAAATAAATTTTGTTCCAGTGACTGTTGCGTGGCTGTAGAAGAAACCTTAAAGTGTTTAGAAAAAAAAGTGAATTTCTTACACACGAATATATTAAGCTCCCCAAGCTTTAATAAATAATCACATAACTAGGCATTCTTCTGCTGTTAACCAAGAAAAGTCTTGGAGAGATTTCAAATGTTCTTCCCATTTCTGTGAATGCAATGCTTTAACACGCTTTCCATGTTTCACTTCCATCAAACTCTTATTACGACAATTTTCCCATTCTTATAACCTATATAATTTCTCGCTAAGCTTATTATGTTTATTTCCCGAGTAAAAAGAATTACAAAACAAAACAAAACAACAATGAGTACAAGGATAAAAAGGTATGTAGTAAATAAGATAACGAATACAAAGTGATTGACAATTTTAATTACTCTGTGACTTATTTGTAAATGAGTATTTCCTTTAGAGGATCGTATGTATGTATATAAATGACATCGATACGTTTTTCTACTACAAGTTGGCAGGAATGCACTAAGCTATCGCTTTCCAAGTCGCTAGTCTTAGATAGTTCGTTTAAGAGATGAATATAACTTTTAGATTATCGTAAGCATCTCTCTCTAATGCGTAGCTAATACGATATAAAGATATAATGAGAAAAAAAAAGAATATTTCCCTTACCACAAGAATATATTAAGTTTGCTGGGGTGTATGTAGCAACCGGGAAGAATCCATAAGGGATCTATCTTTTATTATACTGGAAATGATTTTGAATCATTTTCTGAATACATCTAAGTTTGTCTGTCCGTCTGTCCATGTATTCTTTTGTTTGAACTAGAGCTAGTTGTTGGATTATCTTGGCGAAATTTTGGCAGACTGACGTATTTTGTCCCAACGACAAACTTTATTAAGAAATATTCGGATCGGACAACTTTTTCAATTAATCCCCATAAGTCTTCTTATTTCAGACAGTCGTTATACAAAAGAATGTTGAAATGATCAGACTTTCGCGGTAAAAATTTGGATCAGATTAAGCAAATTTTTTGAACCCCCCGCCATATAAATTATATTGTTCAATGTTTTTTGCTGGAAATCAGTCTGTAATAGAAATTTGACCAAGAAATTAATCTCACCGAATTTGGGTACCATGTGAGTAAATTTTTTGGACATCATCGCATACAAGGATTGTCATGTGCCCAAAAATCGACTCTTTAATATCTTATGATGAGAATCAGCTCGCAATACCAGCATGGCATAAAAATGAACTGTAGAGAATTTAGATCACATAGGCCTTGCCATCTATGGGGAGAGGCTCTCATAAATTGCAAGCCGCTATATGAGAGCAAAATCCAATTTGTAACTTTTTATGACGCAAATAGATGACAACTAATAAAATCGCCGGTGTTGACGTTTTGCGCGACCTCTAATACGGAGGTCAACATAAACAAAATAGTGTATAATTTTTGTTGCCTTATCATAAAAATGAACAAATGACTGCATTAAGTGAAGTATGTGATGACCAGTCTTGCCTTGTTTTTACTTGTTATTATTATACAATTTATTTAGACCAAAAAAAAAAAAAAAAAAACTGGTTGCTATGGCATACTAAAAAATGGGCTAAACATTGAGCAATTAAGACCATCGACTCTTTTAACCACCCGAGCCTAAGAAAGAAAACCATTAAGTATTTTGATGTGCTCATGGTTCGCATTCCTAGCACCCTGTATTCTCTTTATCCCTATACTAAGATTGCCATTTACTCTTAACATAGTGGTAGCCTCGATTATTATAGAAATGCAATAAGTAAAAAATGTACAACAAAAGCAAAGATTTTGGACAGAGATTGATGTGTTTGGTCTAATGTTAAGCGCGCAAGTTGGCTGCGTGAAAACTCAGCGATCAAACACAATCCATTTGGTTGAAAACATACACGTGGCATAGGTGTTGCAAAATGCAAAGTTTTTTTTTTTTTTTTTTTCTTTCTGTTGACGATGGAAAAAGTTTCAATTAATTTTGAATTTTCATTTCATTTAAATTTATGTGCATTTAATTATTACGTAATTTATTTTCCTCCTGTAATTAATTAAATTCCAATTAAAATAAAATAAAAAAAAAAGAAGAGCAACGAGAAAGAAAACCCAATAAAATACATTTATAAAAATAAAAAATAAAAAGAACAGCAAGAAAGAAAATCCCATCAATATTTGTTTTTTTTTTTTCACAAACGTCGTATTTTACATTTACAAGTTGAACGCAGAAATAAATAAAATTACATGGACGAGAAAGAAAGAAACAGCATTTGTCGTTTGCTTGTATATGTGAGCATTATAATGATACTTAGTGAAAACTGTATTTTCCTAATTAAATTTACTCATTAATCTCCTAGCGTCAGATGACCTGAGGATTTCCACTACGCTAAACAAGCTACTGAGTATACATGCAGATATATATATATATAAGTTTGTGTGTGCTTATATATATATATATGTATAGTAAAAAAATGCAAATGATCAAATAAATATCTTTTATTCACACAACGTGATAGGTAAACAACCTTAATACTCTTGCCGTTGAACACAGCATTTCCGTTTCCTGTTTGAATGATTTCACTATTTAGCTTTTCATTTTCTTTCTTATTTCTTTTGTATTTATTTTCCTTTGTCTCATTTTTCTTAAACTTTTCCATTACTGCCGGAGAATGTGGTAGTAATATGAGACACTTAGATATAAACCATGTCGGTCCCTCTTCGTTGGTAATTGAATTGAAATTGTTCAGGTAAAATGCGGGAAATTTTCCTTAGATTTCTCTCAAAGTTTTATGAGTAAACTGATGAATAATTTTGACAAGAAATAAAAATCATCAGAGAATCATTGCTCTAAGCGGTCATATGACTTGTAAGTGATTGCAAATAAAAGGACGCTTTATAACTAAAATAGGTTCGCTTCAAAGAAATGCAAGTGCAATTTTTTATATAATATGCTGTAAGATAATTCAGAATGAAACCTATTGATATTAAGAGTCATTCGATCCTCATTGAATGAAAATAGAATATATATTGTGATCTTTAGTTGATGATATGAAATTCGTTGTAACGTGACTATGATGGCTATTACTGGCTTTCTTTATAAATGTCTCTCTCTCTTTCTCTCTTTCTCTCTCACTCTCTCACTCTCTCTCCTCCTCTTTATCTCTTTTTCTCTAGATTTTTTACTTAGGAAAAGTAACCAATGTTCTTGATGAGCGGAAGGAATGGAAACAGTATAAAACAAGGTATAAGTGACACGCAATTTATTCGTTAAAGAAAACTTTATACTCTTTGATAAGCAGCAACCATGTAAAAACAAAAACAAGGCACAAAATAATTAAATTAATGCACGTGATTGTGATAAACGGGATGCGTGAGTAGTTCTTGTGTAACTTTCTCACTTTTTTTTCCTTTAATTCACTAGATCATCTGGGAGCTTAAAATGATCCGCTGTATAAAAGTTAATTAAAGAATAATTCACAAAATTGGATTGTGATAAATTTGTGAAAGAAAATTGCCAAGAAACTATTGAGCCTTTGATCAGTGTATCAGTCAACCAACGGATATGTTGAAGAAAAATTCTTAAATACAGACATAGTCTTTGTTAAGATATGTAAATATGAAACCGGAATTTGTACAAAGGAAAGAGACCTTTCTACATTTATCACTAATGCAAATCTCGCTGGATTTAAGCACGCAATGACCTTAAAGGTCTTCCCCTCTTGACGCAAATCATTCGTCAAGACATTTGTTTCACATCTTCTTACGAAGCAAAGCAAGCGATAAGCAAGCCTCGTGATTATGTCGCATGGACTGGCTCTCTCTCAGCACGTGTGCACGTTGCTTGCTTGCGTCAACGTTGAACATTATTCGACTATTGAATGCAAGTGTAATGATAAGACTACGCAGGGTTAAAGTTAAGCGTAAGCAGTGGCAAAGCCCTAAAGAAGTTTTATGCACGAACGTTAAAGTGAATTTTTGGATGGTCATGAATCGTCAATTGAAAGCTTTGTCTTTATAGACAGAATTTTTAATACCTGACCACACTTATTGACTATGACAGATTTAAGAGGGGAAAGGGTAAAAAAGTTCAAGCACATTCTACATTTTGTTAACGAAGACAATTACGATGTAACAATGTTGTTGTTTTCCGACTTTGGTTTACTTAATATTTTATATAAAATTTTATGCGTTGCATATTTTTTGGTGTTACAAAGCTTATATTAAGTTTTATGCATCGACATAAGGAAGAGTTTGTGGGAAACATAGAAAAACATTGTTTTGTTTAAAGTATATATCTGGCATGTATGACTAGGTATATAAACTTACTTCACTTGAATGTAGTCGTGCTGGCAATTCGGTTTGTTCGCCGGATGAATTAAATGTCCAATGAAATGTATCCGCAGGCGGTGATGCATCTACTTCACATTTTAACGTTAAAGTTTCATGCTTCAAGGCACCCAACAGTTCGTCGTGGTCTATGGCACAGATGGGCGCATCTGAAATGGCAACAAAAACACATATATACATCCATAATGTAAATATATATATATATATATATATACAATATATATATATACAATATATATATATATATATAGATATATACATTTATATATAAATATGTATATACATTAGTTATCCTAAACAATTTTATAAAAATTGTGTTTGGATTCAGATATAAATATATATATATATATATATATATATATATATATGTATATATATATATATATGTATATACACATAATGGGTTAAAGGAAATAAAACAAGAAATCATTGAATAAAGTGGCGTTGAGCTCATGGAGAATAAAGAACTAAACATAAATTTTATTTTTACTGTTATAAATTTTAATGTATTTCTTCTTGTTAATTTTTTTCTTTTTTTTTTATGTTTTTATTTTCTCTTTCTTATATTTGCTGTTGTCTGCTTGTTTGCGTTGTGTTTGCACAGTTTCATCCGGTTCAGGATTTTCGTTCTCTCTTTATTTTTTATTATTCCTGTGTAATTAGTCCTAAGAATGATACTGAATTAAGTCTAGTTTAGTGAATAAAAAAAAAAAAAATTAAAAAAAAATATAAAAAATCGATAACAAAACAAAGAAAATTAAAAAAAAGAAACAGCAAACATTATTCATTTGAATCTCTTTGCTATTTTTATTTAGTCTTTACCGCAGCTGACTCTCCAAACTTAGATTTTGCGGACACCCTACTTACGAAAAAAAGTTGGAAGATAACGTAAAAATACTCTATTAGCTTAAGCCGAGGGTCGACTTAGACTTTAGTTCTCTAAGCGCAATATTATGACTTATATGGCGATCTAGCGTCCTTCGCATGCATATAGAGGAAGGTACCGCCCACGTCAGATCAGAAAGTCATTGCAGCCAATTCGGCTTAACGCGGCGTGAGTTAATAACGAAGAATGCAAGCAACATACCTCTGAGTTCGTGTTCAGTTCGCTTTATGGAGAGGTTTGGAAGGGGGCTGGGGGTGGAAGGGGACGTTTGTCCATTGGTTTACCTCTCATGTTTAAGTAGATACGTAAATTTCGTTAGCCTCGAACCTATTGTTCAGCCAATCTAAAGCTAATTCTTTACTCCCCTCACTTATATTTCATTTTTCTGCATGCACACGCGAGCAGATTGGCCTGACGACAAAACTTTTTCATGTTATTACAGAAATTACTGAAAAGTTGTTTGATTAAGGAAGGATACAAAGATTATGGGATCTGGCAAGTAGGCTACGGTTTTCGAAAGCGAGCAAAAAGCGAACGAAGTTTGCTCAGACGGCTAAGAAGTTTGGCAGGAATTGTTTATAAGATATTGATCGCCTGAAAACTAAACCCTAAGACTAAAGTCTTAAAGTATTAGCATCTTGGGCTATCGGCTTTGTTGACATCTCTATTGTACTTGAGATTTTTAACTGCACAGTCATTGAGTTATTAGTGTTTGAAATTTCATTTAAATGAATTGGGGTGATTTCCACCGAGAGTTTCGCACTCATTTTGCGCATCGTGGTTGAATATCGGCGCTCATTGTCATCCATTATGACCCAGCATTGTTTTCTAACGAATAACATGGGAAAAGCAATGCTGATCGCTCGTTGTTGTAGTTTTTTTTTTTTTGTTCAATACTCGAAGATCTATGTTTTTTATACCTCACTGTATTGAAGGCATTCTTTTGTCACACTGTTATTTAAGGCACATCCGCCTAAGTGCCCGAACAGGCTAAAAATATCGACTAATAAGTTGAATGATCTTGGGATCAAATCTCAAGTACGGTAGATTTTTCAATGAAGTCGATAGCCCGAGATGCTAGTGTTTTAAGAGTTTTTAGTGTTAGAATTTATTTCTCTAACTAAACTTATCATAATACTAATCCAAACATTTAACACGATATACATATCAATATGTATTGCCCCATATACCTTTGAAGAGAATAGTCGAGTAATTTTATCAAGTATTCGGTGGCGAAAATGAGAAGAATTTTTTATAAAGCTTATTTTTGCAATTTTTTGAAATGTAAACTATAATATCGGACGCAAGTAGAGTGAGAAAGAGAACATTTTTCTTAAACAATAGAAGAAATAAGTTGTATTTTAACAGAAGTCTTGCATAAATAATATCTTGAATTGTCATTGAAAGATTACCTCATAGATTACAGTAGATAATAACATAAAAATACAGAGTCGTACGTCAACACTTACTAAGATGAAATCTAGTATATCTAAAAGTGAGATATAAACCGCGCGAATATGAGCACAGTAAAAACCACATGTAAGAAACGTGGTTTAAAAATCAGTGCAAAAATATATATAGCGTCAGCCGTGATATGATTCTAAAAACTAACGCATAAATGTATCGATGTTTAATTGAATGTGATTTAAAGTAAAGTAATCTTCATGTCATTCAATCTCTGTTAAAATTGTAATTGAAGTTGATGCGGTCTCAAAACTGTTTAGCTACAAAACAAGTCAGACACAACAAAGAAGAAGAATTGTTTTATGCTTTTTACTTTATTTACTTTTTCTTTTACCAATCTTAACATAAATAACAGATATTTTAATTGTGTCTGACGCATTACTTTTCATTTATCAAAGAGTGTCTTTTTGTTCATTATTTCTTCTTTTAGTTTTCTCTATCTCTCTCTCTCTCTCTCTCTCCCTCTTTGTTTCTCTGATTATTTCAATTCAGTTGTTCTTTTTTTACTAATGCCTTTATGTTAAAGCATAATACAAGCTCTTGTACATTATATACGAGATATATATATGCGTTTTGTGTATGCGGTGAGTAGGTGGATATGTTATATATAAACGTAAAACAAAAGAATCGAACCATACGTATAATTCAAGGCACTTATCCTTTTATAAGCTTATCTTTTCATACATATATATATATATATATATATATATATATATATATGTATATATATATGTATATATATATATATATATATATATATATATATTTACATATCTATATCATATATCATGTTTCGTTTCAATCTCAGTGTATGTATGTATGTATGTATGTATGTATGTATGTATGTGTGTGTGTGTGTGTGTGTGTGTGTGTATGTTTATGAAAATAATGTATGAATTTTCATTTTGCCCTACTTTCTTTTTTTTTATTTCCTTATTTGAATTTCTTTTCACAAATATTAGGCAATGCTCTCGCCTGATAGGTGCGAGTAAGTGTTTGCCTATAAGTTTCGAAGGAGACTCTTTGTTATTAAACAAAGAACTTTTTCATTTACTTTATACCATCCTTACCGTAAAAGCAGTTTAATAAAACCCAAGGAAAAAGAAAAAAAAAATATTTCTCTTTTAAAAAAAAAGTCAATGGAAAACTTCATTTATTTACAAGTTTCAGAACAATAATCTTTTGTTTTCAACCGATCATCTCTAAGCGGATTTAAGTTTTAATTAATTACATTTTTTTTTTTTTTTGATTTTCTTTGAATTTGTAATTGGCAAAAACAATTATGCAAACATACGCACACACACCTAAGAGAAATATGGATTTTATTGAGAAAATATACGCTATCAGTAGATAGTCAGTGGAAAAGTTTGCAAGAAAGATATGCGAAAATTAGTTTTGTAAGATTTAACTTATCCTCTTCCGGATAACATTTCGGAGTACAGTTGTGAATACGTTGTCTACTATTGAACTTTCAAAAAAAAAATGCAAAAATATTCGTCCGCTAATATATTCTTCATCAGAGAGAGGGAGAGAGAAAGAGAGAGAGCAAGAATGCTTTACGATATTTTGAGCAATAGAAGACGGCTTCGATTTAATAACGAGCTGGGAACTAAGCAATGCCTTGTCATATCTAACAGAATAAAAGTTAATTCCTGCTAAAAGAAATCAGAAAATGTAAGATCTGGGTAGCGTCAACACTTAAGTCTATCTAAGCTAATCAGGTGTTGAAAATTCTACAAATTTCGATTGATTACGTATTTATTTTTACATTTTTAGTGAGAACGGCAATCGAGTCTATTCGCGTATTTCACCGACGTTCTATCTAGGTGCACAGTATGTGAACGAATCTAAAACGAAGTTTTTTAATCTCTTTACTCTTCTACTTCACTTTTACTTAAAGCAAGATAAACTACGGAAAAATAAAGATTTCTTTAAGTTACGTAAACCAGATTTCGTAGATTTTTATATTGCAATTAAAAACACATTGCAGCCAGCCACATGCTCGAAAGAAGGAAACAAGAACAAAAAGTGTAATATTGTAAGCATATGTCACATTTTAATGATTTAAGTTAGAGTTAATAACGTACATCGCTGCTACTATTACGGCGATCATGTTTCATACATTCATCCCCTTTTATGTGCACTAACAAGAACATTAATCATAAAAATTAGGTGACATTGTCGTTTAAGTTGTGCTAGATGAGAGTTCAAACACAATATGACAAACCAAAAAAAAAAATAAAACCATTCGACTACAAGTAAAATTTTTATCAGAATTAACTTTGCTTAAGCAGTATCCTGCAAGCAAAAGTTTATTTAGTAATGTGCAGTCGAAGGCTGAGACTTTTGCTTTTTTTTCCCTAGATTTTCATTCTATACCTCTGCAACATGCATGATACATTCATGCAATTGTCAATCTAACATTTGTTAAATCATCGTATCTTTATATGTATTATGTATGATACAAAAATTACTTTAAACTTAACATTTCTATCGTGTTAATGGCGTATATTGAGAGATAAGAAGGATCAGCAAATACTTACAACGTATACGCAATGTCACCGGATTACTGGAACCTTTGCCTTCGGAGTTTACAGCCAGACAGTTGTAATCACCGGCAGATGCACGTGAAACGCTTTGTAAGACAAGTGATTGATCTGATAGTATGACACCAGCTGATATATTGTGATGTAATTCTTTGCCCTAAAAAGAAAAATAAAAAGAACCAACAAAACCAATAAGAATAAAGAAATAAAACCAAATTTATATATCTTATGCAATTGATGAGCTGGATGAGCTGGATGAGTTTAAGGATATTCGGTGTAAATGCTTTTTATCCTTAAATCCTTAAATCCAAATAATCTTTAAAGTTTACCTTGGGTTTTTTTTTCACTCTACATTAAAGCAAACAAATTCATTCTCTATTGCTTTTGATTCGATTAAAAATTTCGCATATCTATGTTTAAGACGGAAGGACAAAAACAAAAAAAAAAAAAAAACACTTAATAGAAATGAATTTTAAAAATATTTACTTTTCTTGGGTGTAGAGAGGAGATAAACCTGAGCGTTTCATTCATCGCTTATCTAGTTTGATGGTCGTGAATATAAATATATTATATATATATATATAAAATAAAAGTAATCCGGTTATTAAAAATCAAATCATGTTCACTTTATAACTTCCTTTAGTTGAAAGAGGAAAAAATTCGTAATTTTTTTTCTCGTTTTTTATTTCTAAGTAATCAACCTTTTATTATCGTGCACTTAGATAGTGCATTCGACGAAGATTTATCACCTAACGGATAATATATTTAGCCGATATCATCAAACACACAAATCTTAGTATCCTTGTCAGCTGTGGTGCAATCAACAGAAGACATTAAGAATTTATATACACACGTTCGTATTAACAACACACAAACGCATAAGAAGAGCATTTTATACGTATATCCTGAGCATTGTTTTACTATTTTTCATCGTTCACTTGAAAATTTGATTTCATTACATATGTTACATTGGCGGAAAAGTTCTATTCCGGGACCGACAAGATTTAGCAACTGTCAAGGACACAACATTGTATCTTTGTCCCATCAGATAAAGTTGAAGCGATTTAAATAGATAATCACCCGATAAGGCTATGTCACATGAATATGGCTCGTGACTACGAACTTCCCATTCACTAATGTAATTTTGCTTTAGCTTGATGGAACAGAGTTCGCTTTCTGTTCGCTAATACTGACCACTTTTGCTTGATAGCTGTGTTCAATTTATTCAGCTCATTGCCTTAGGTGGTTTGCCCCTGTTTACGTGGTTCGCTTCCATCTCACCAGGGGTGTCCCATAAGAAAGTATGGGCCGCAGGAGACCATAAATAGGGCTGGGTATAGAATGGCTCGCCAGGACCTAACATTCGCCCGTTCGGGAAGTAAGTTTCGTCAGTCCGCTTTTCTTCATAAGGACTTTAGCACGTGTAGCACTTGTTTAGTGTAAGCTCCTGTGGAATGTCTCCGGGATGAAGATTGAAACTCGCACTATACTACCGAGGTTCAATGACAAGTGCGTTTATCCGTTTGCAGTCTCCGACCTTTTGAGCTTTTTGACGTACATAATTTTATGTTGTTACGCAAAGAGGTTGGACATACAGACACGTTTTACCTTGTTACATAACAGTACCGCACGACGTGGAGGCAAAATGGGCTACGATTTCAAATAGCAAACGTCTATGTTAGCCAAACAGAGGCTCAGTTTTCCTTTACGAAAATCTGATTTCGCAACAGTTCGCAGTAAATCTTTTTCTCCTTATATTCTCGTAAATGATCTATATTTCATTTTACGCAATAAATTTGACCAAGAATGACTCAATATTGTGATTAAAAAAGGTGAATGAGGTGATTGTCCCACGATCCGAAATTTATTTTTAGTCAAATTGCTCTGAAAGCGAAACTGCTCTGTTTGAAGACAAATCCAATATGTTTGTCGTGCTATTCAGCCGTCGAATGGTAGATGCCGAGCTCCTCTATAATTGCTCTCGTGATTAGAATTGCGATATTCTCCACTCCCCCATTGCTAAATATAGGTAAGAACTTCAATGGCCGCTCATATAGAAGGTATTCAAAGTATTTATCTTAGGACTCGATCCAGAGAGATAGATGATGCATTCTACTTATTTACTTGGAAGTAATAAAATAGAACAGAACTTTCCCGCCATTCTAAAATATGTCCATGGCCCAACAACTCAAACATATTCATTTTTTCATCGGAATAGAATTCCAACAACAATTGAACAATAGCGTTCATCTTCTAGTTAAACATGGATCGAATTCGCGAATAGTCTCGTGGAAAACCAAATTTTAAATTAGGTAATTAACACTTTGAAACTTCCAGTAAATCTCAATTTGAAGCCTTCAGAAGACTTGGCTTATTTCCCATAATCGAATTCATCTTGAAAAAAAAAAAGGGATTGTTTCCCCATACGCACTTCAACAATGAATATCAATCACACTTCCTCTGTAATCTTCTATTCTTCTATGCATTCATAAAGAAGAAGAAGATTACAAGAAACAATTAGCCATCAATCATATTTTATATTACATATAGAGTAAAAAATGAAAAATAAAAATATAATATATCATTCAATAAGTTGGCAGGATCACATATAAACCATCATCATCATCATCATCATCATCACTGATGAATTCATAACCAAAACAGCCACAAATTGCAACCTAACGATCAATATGTTATGAAAGTTTGAAATATATGGATTCGTCAACGGGCGTCATACATCTCTATGTCATCCTACGAATTTATTGGGTGATATTTTACATAAGCCATCATAGCAACATGAAAACATTTTTTACTTAACGTTTTATTCGATTGTTTTTTTTTTTTTTTTGGAAATTTTCTATCTAATCACACTTCGAGAGACCTTTTTCGAGAGACTTTTTTCCGTAGAAGGCCAACACCGGTCAACTTTTTTTTAGACCGGACTAGATGGCATCGAAAATCGCATGCTTGTATGCGTTGGCTATGAATGTCCTACGCAATGAATGTAAAAAAATATTTATTTTTTTTTGCAGACGACGAGCTTGTCAGGATGATAGTCGGGAAGGGTTATAGGCTTCCTTAACATGGGAATTTCTAGAACAAAATTAAATTAAGCAACGTGTCTTGGCTGCCACTTTTAATAAAAAGTCCAATCTGTAAATTGAACTGAAAACTGTAAAGGGATTTTTCTTCAGAGACATATGTGATGTGTTTATGCCGTTGAAAGAATATAAATTTTTATTTATAAAGTTACATAACATTACGAAGAATTCATTTGGTAATTCATTGGGTAATATGTTATATGTCTGATTATATAAAATACTTGTATACCTATCAGTATCAAACGCGTTCCGACAAACGACAAGGCTTAACGCAATTTTCATATAGCCTGAGAGGAGACTTACACTAACAGTGGCTATCGCGGGAAGAATTAAAAAAAAAAAAAAAACAACCTCATCCAATTCTGTACATTCACAGAAATGCACTGTTAAGCGACATGATGTGCTCTTATGCACTTATAAGATGCTTTTCAACTGCTTAGGGATCAAGCTAACGCAGCTGGCATGTAAGCTTATTATATTATGAACGTATACTATTTCTCTCCTTATATTCATTTTCAATATTCATCGTGATACGATTGCATGAATGATATCGATACAAGTTGTAGAGGTAACTAAGAATGTTGCTTTGTTGTTAGACAACATACGGAATGACAAATTTAATATAACTACTAGTATCATTGATGATGAAGAGTTTGTGCTAATTCCCCAGATGAGTGCTGCTCTTCGTACGTATGGTGTATATACGCTTAACCTATGTACATTTTATGCTTTCAAGTACGTTATATAGCGTAAATTGCACTAAAGACAGCCGAGTTAAATAAAGGATTACCACATCACAGTGAAAGGCATGATGACAGGTAAACAGGACAGACTGAAAGATGTTCAACTAGAGATAGACACGAAGAAAATTTAATTTATTTTTACCTTAAAACAAATGTACACAAATACGCATGCACATATACGAGAAAATGCAAAGAGAAAGACCAAGCGAGATAGAGATAGAGAATGATAAAGGGAGAGAGTGAGAGAGAGAGAGAGAGAGAGAGAGAGAGAGGAGAAAGCGATGCGGATATATATTTAACTTTCACTTGAACGTATGATATAGAATAGAAAACGAGCGGACTTGATGTTGTGTCAGAATATTGGAAGAGAAGGTGTAGAAGAAGGAGAGAGAGAGAGAGAAAAAAAAAGGAAAACTTCTATCAAATTCTATGAGAATGGAGTTTCAGTTCGAGCAATACATTCCAACATACATGTATATGTATATATAGGTATACACGATTTTGTGTAGGTAAGTGAGTGTAAGTATTTCTGCCTTAGTTAAGAGATGGCCTTGTGTTTGTTTTCATTACGTTATGCTATTGCCAAGTGTTAAGTTCAACTGAACTAAGATAAACTGTCAAATAGTTTTCCAAGTCATTCAAGCAAACATCTTACAAACGGAATCTGCCTTATATATTATACATATACATTATTTATATGTATATAACATACAAAGCTATAAAGTGTACATATGCATATATATATATATATATATATATATATATATGCATGCATGTATTAATTTACAGGCATGCCGTAAAGTAATCTGTAAATGGTGTCTTTCACAAGTAAATGAATTTTTGTTAATTGCACACGTGCATTGTACGAATCAGTTGCCGGATTACATGAATTCATTTTAACAAATTATATTTCTTGTCATATTTTCATTTTCATTTTCATTCACATTCACATTCATGTTATTTTCCTTGTCTTTCGCTCCCATTTGGCCAGTCTTTCACATTGCAATTCTCATTTCAAAAATGTTATAAAGCATCGACAGCATTAAGCACAACTTCTGTCTAAAGAGGATAAAAAAAATGTTTCTCTCTCCTCTTCTCTTTTTTTTTTTTTCTTTCTTTCGTTGATTCTGAGAATAATCAACCATTATATAATTCTGAAGGTAATATAAATTAATTAGTAAAGTTTTTCCTTCTTCTTCTTTTTCTTCTTCTTCTACTATCGAATAGTGTTAAGTTACCTAATGAGCCATAAAATGTTGCGTTAGGTTACAATTTGTTTTTTTTTTTTTTTTTTTTAATTAAAAAAATTGACTTACATTATGAAACCAGGACATTTTATAAGGCTTTGGATTCGATTGAATAACGCATTCGAAATAGACGTCATCACCTTCTTTAATATCATCTGGATTAAGCGACGAACCCATTTTTAAATGCGTTGTAGGCTGATCTGAAAGCAAAAAAAAAACAAAAAATAACAGACGTTAATAATCTCAAGAAAGTTTTATTAAAGCATTTACAATATTTTTTATTTTGAATTAATATGAGTTATAGTAAGTGATTAGTGTGCACCAATCAAAATGACAGGCGAATTAGAGACAAGTTGGGCGCAATTGAGTGTACAACAACGTCTAGTAAGCTATAAGTTTAGCTGAGTGCATAAAGACTCAGCTGAGCTAGAGTACAAACGATCAATTCATAAACTAATCGGATATCTTTCTAAAAAGAGAAGCACTGCTGCGTTCAAGGAACATTTTAATAAACTACGTGATTAGTTGAGTAAAAGAACAAAAAACACCGCCGAGTTGAAAAAAGTCTCCTTAAGCTAACCAAGCCCATAAGCGAACACTGGGTGTAAATAGAAATGCAGATGAGTTGAAATGTCAAGTACCAGAGATGACTTTTGACAGATGAGAAAAAAAGCTAAAAGCAATTCTAGGCATAATATATGATGATAATATATGTGTATACATGTGTATATATATATACGTATTTTTTCAATTCACTCAACGTGATAACCCAAATGCATCTATACGTGTCAGCAAAAGTGTGAGGTGAAAAGTGAAGTGACCTGTGAAGTGAATTGAAATAATCAAGAAAATCTGTCTAGTTACTGCGACTTTATTACTAAATTCCATAAAAATTCGAGAAAATTCATATGTAATGAGATTAGAACGTTAAAGTTTTCTTATATGTTTTTTCCTTATGTTTGTTTACATACCTGCCAACGGCAGTAATATTTAACTTTCTTATTTACTTGTGCATTTCCAAATTCCTAACTGTATTATATGATAAAAAAAAAAAAAAAAAAAAACAAGAAAAATAGGAGAGAAAATTTTCTACTTCTTTTCTACTTTAGCCAATAATACTAAAATAAATATTAATATCCTTGCAGAGAAATATACTTTTGGCAATCACCAGAAAAAATCATTTAGAAGAATTTCTTCCAACTTTGGTCAATAAATCAATTTGTGTATCTTACGTGCTGTTAAAAAAAAAAAAAAAAAAAAAAAAAAAAACAAGTAAAATTATTTTACTAAATAAAAATAAAAATTATAAAAAAATTGTACTATCAAGTAAAACTGCTTTAGGAGAAAAGAAACAACAAAACTATAGAATTAATTTTATGCCTAACACAATACGTTATAATAACAAACTGATACTGAACTGATATTTTCCATTAATATAAATGTCTTACTATAAAGGATCTTAGAGATGGCATTTTGGCCCTTACCAATAGGTCACGCTTGCTTACAACTACCACTCATCATTATTGCTATTGTAGGCAATAAAGAGAATGTGGTCTATGATATATCATGTATGCTATATACATATACATATATACATATATACATATATATATATATATATATATATATAAATAGGCATGGGTGTGCACAAATTATGTTTTTTATATAGAAATTCTTTTATGAAATTATTTATACCTGTCTCCCTCTTTTTATATTGGACCATTGAAAATGAACCCCTACTTATTACCACATAAATGATACTAGAACTAAAGTTAAAGATAAATTCAAAATTAAGATTTAAAAACTTGTAAATGTTATTACGCTTATCGCAGCTTGCTTCTCTTTCTCAAGTGTTTGAGTTTCAAAAAAATGTTTATAATACGTATGCAAAACTCGTTCGTGTACCTATTCCAACCATTTCTATAAATCCCTATAATCCCGCGCAAATATTCTTTGCTTGATTAAGAACCGAAAATGAAAAAATGGGTATTTGTTTGCTTACGATAGAGAAGAAACTGAAAATGTACCGATATCCTTCTCACATTGTCTTCTACAACTGGCGGCTTCGTAAGGATAATTTATTTAATTTATTTCCAATTTATTCTAATAAGTATTAGCAAGTTCTTTACTCAATTATGAGTAAATTGCAAATAAATTGAAATTTAATTGAAAATACAATTTTATCGTTAATTGTGGGCGGATTAGTAAAGTCATATATCATATAGCAATGTATAAAAAAATTGTTAGTGTTATTTTGAGGTTATCTCCCCCTTTTTTACCCTTGGAATCATTTTGTCAAATTTTAGTTTACGATTTCAATTTTTGCCACTTTGCCGATTCGACAAAATAATGGATCAAATTAATCCATTTTAGTAAAAATAGGTAAACGCAAAACATTAGAAGACTAGTGACAAGGAAAAGGTAACCGTGTAGTAACTCTCATGGGTCAAAGTCGATATCTTCATTTTTGCGATCAGGAGTGTGCCAACAACAAACATCAAGCAGACGGACAGACATGGTTTAATAAATTTAAACATTTTCGCACAGATCAAGAACATCTATGCACTTTATAGGGTATCTCAATGCCGTTTCCCGTATACCCCCACCCTTTTCCTGGTGGCCAAGATATAACTTAGACTTCAAAGTATTTTTAACCGTATAGAACGTCTTTTTTATAGCAACAAACTTAGAGATAATCTCTCCTCCTTCGTTCATACTTTTTGAAAATTCTCCCTTCCCGATTATCTAGAATTCAGGTTGCTTTGTCTACTTTTACATACCAAGTCGAACCCTCGAAGCCTTTTAATTGATTGACTCCAGTTCTCTAGATCGAATTGATACCCTCCCTTTCATATTAATACCGACCACATTTGTCCAACTCACCAGCTGCACGATCGTTGACTTGTTCGTTTTGCATTAACACTGAGTCTGGAATCCTTCGATGATTCTTTAAATACGTTTAGAAGGAAATTGAGCCCCTTGCCCAACTCATAATATATATTATGTTGTTGGTAGGAATTGATGATTACGAAATTTATAGACCAAGATGATTACGTTAGCAGCCATTTAGCTGACTTGTATACTCTCATATGCCATGTATCTATGTAACTAAGTAATATACCTATGACTTTATAGTTACTTAACAAGTGAATGAATGAAAATGAAATGAAAAACCAAAGGAAAAAGTCCTTGTATCACATGATTTCTCTGTTATATTGCTCAGCATATGATTGTAAGTCTAAAGTAAATGAATATCTCACAAATCTTTCGTATGATAGATGCTTTGAATTAAGTAACAATAGATGGCGATAGGCGTACGATTGGATGGCCGTAAGGAACGTAATTCAAAAATGAATAAAAGATTTTTTCTCTTAATATCGTCGCATATTATGTCAGTGAGGTGAGTATAATAAATTAAATTTTTGCCAGAAAAATCGCTCAACGCAAAGTGATTACTATTTAAAACTGCCTTACCATCAATTTGTGTTTAGCTTATTTAAGGCTTATTTACATGTGTAACTTGTAATATAATTAATTTCATATATAAAATATTCTTTGCAGTGCCGTTATTTTTATAACCATATAATATAATGATGGTTTTTAAACAATTTAATTAAATAAATAAAATGTTTCATGAAATTAGCTTATATTGCAATTACTTTGAATAACACTTATGACCGACCGCATGTAAAAGCCGCAAAACAGAATACAAAGCTGATACATATTTTTTAAATAATAATAATTGATGCAAATGTTATAAACATATCTACATATATATATATATATATATATATATACAGTGGTCGCCACGAGTTTAGCTCACTTCGTATGCATTGTTTTCAAAAGCAAATATTTTTTTCCGATTATCACAAATATGTCTAATGTGTTGCGTATGATGCGGTCAGCACGTGCCGTTATTTTTTTTTTACTCTTATCCGGAGGGAGAACCGTTGGAGAGATAGTGAACAATTTTAAATTGCTCAAGAAAGATGGGGTACAATGCCCTAGGCCATATTCGTACCGAAGGGAACTCCAGAAACGTTGCTTAGTGTCCCAGACCCGTAAGAAGGACTCTTTGATTTACACAGCGTCTATCGTTGGTCCATTGAAAAGTTGAACAGTAATTCAAAGACATGTTTTTGACAAAACTCGACACTGACGTTTCCTCCAGAACGTTAAGAAGAAGATTCTATGAGGAAAATTAGCCTGGATGCATTATTCAGCATAAGTTACGCCCCCTATTTACGCCCCCTTCACCTTTTGGAAAAATATACTTTGGAGTGACGAATCGAAATTTTGTCGATTCGGATCAAATGCTAAGCGGTACGTATGGCGTCCTCCAAACGTGCAACGCAATCCAAAGTACACATCTAAGAGATCTACAAGGCGTGGTAGTAGAAATGTGCTGGTGTGGGCCCGCTTTTTTTTGGGCATGGTATTTGTCCCATACATAAAATTGATTCACTAATGGATCATGGATATGTTTATAAAACTCTACTTGTAAACACAATGATTCCATATGTAGAGAAAACCAGGCTACTCAGGTGGCTTGCATGACAACGCTTCACGCACAGTGAACAGAACATCATAGATTTTTTGAAGTGGTCGTATCTCAATCCTATTGAAAGCTTATGGAATGATGTAGAGCAACATCTTAGTGGGGAAAAACCCAAAAATCTAAGTGATTTGTGGACGAAAATCCAAAAGGTTTGATACGCAATTTCAGTGAAGCGTTACATGCCCACGGAGAACAGTGCGCCCAGAATATATGCAAGGTGTTATTAAAAACAAAAATGTATCCAACAAAATATTAAGTTTTTAGCCAATAGGAAGGGAAAATACATCCAAATGCATTAAAATGACCAAAGAAAAATAATGTTACCTGAACTTTAGATAGCACACAACGCGAAAAAAGGGCACAGTTTAAGAAAAATAAAAACTCAAACGAATATTCGCCTAACCAAAGAAAATGTGCTAAACTCATGTCTACCACTGTATGTATGTATGTATATGTAAAGCGTAATATGTATTTTTATATTCGTATATTAATTAAAAGTCTCTAATGATTGTTTTGGTTTCCCTTTCATAAGGATATTTAATAGCATACTATTCCAATATCTTTTACAACAAAAGTAAGGTAATAAAATTGATTTTAAGAACACTTTTAATCATTTACAAATGTTGTAAACGAATAATACAAGATAATAAAGTGTTTTCATATTTCGTAAGAAGTCTTCCTCCCCTATATAAGCAATTGCGGACAAATTCTCACTATAAAGCACATTTTGTGTGATTGCGATAACTTTTCCTGGGCTAAAAGTATTGCTTGCGGAGCGACTAATCCTATAGGACAATCTAAAATCCGCTACAGAACAGAACATCAATACAATATATTATTTTATTAAAACTATTAGGCAGGCTCAACACTTAATGCACTTTTATAGATTAGGACCGATAACCTGTGTTACTAGTGCTCAATGTCTTCTTCTTTTCGTCTAAGAATTTATTTCGGAAGGTTAAGGGAAACAAAATTTACAAAGAATCTAATATCGAACAACTAAGGCGTTGTTTTAGGCTGGCAACCCTATCATAAATATTTCAGAAAATCAATTTATTTTTCTATTGACCTAAACGTAATGTCTATTGATCCGAGTAACGAGGAAAAATCCATAAATTTACAAAAAAGCTAATAGCGAGCAACTAAGGCGTTGTTATAGGCTGGCAACCCTATCATAAATATTTCAGAAAAACAATTTATTTTTCTATTGACCTAAACGTAATGTCTATTGATCCGAGTAACGAGGAAAAGTCCATACATTTTTGTTAAGAAAAACAGAGTTGCGTTCAATTTACGCTTCACTGTACTGACCAATTTTGGCCCATTTTTAATACCAACCGGTGTGCAAAAATTTCCAATTTCCCTAACACTTTTGAAATCGATATCTTCATTTTTGGGGCCAAGAGAGTGCTAACAACAAACACCAGATAGACGGGCAGACATGGGTTAATCAATTCAGAATTTCAGGCTGATCAAGAACGTATATGCCTTACAGATTCTCTGAAACTTCGAACAAAAACAGAATGACTATACCTACCCTACCCTGCAGTGAGGAGTATAACAATTACATTGTAAGGAAGCAATTGTTAGAGGCCAAGGGAAGATGGCCCCAAGATAATTTATATTTTGCAAGGGCGACTTTTACCAAGGAAGCATATTAAAATTACGAATCTATTTTGCTGTATGTTTCGATTCATTTCATCTGCGTCCTGTGCTTATTAATTTTCAAAGATTTTCGTTACTAAGAATCGATTTATATCAGTAGATTACATCAATATATCCATTACTATATGATATCATACACGTATGCATGTCAGTGTTTTAGTTATTATCAATTCCTTTTATATCCTACTAATTCTTTTAAACTTTTTTACTTAATATGTTTTATTAATTCATTCAATAACAAATTTTTGTCTCAATTCCCTCCGCTGCCAATGTCTCGTCTAGTTCAAGGGTTTCCGGAAAACTATATTTGCTAGATAAGATAAAATCTAGCCTCTAATTAGACTCTTAACCTTAAGCTAATCGCTTTGAGCCCTTGAGACTTATTTGAACTATGAACTTTGATTTTTTAATTATTTCCTAAAAAAAGTTTTCTTTTACTTAATAATAATAATAATAATAATAAAAAAAAAATCTTTTTTTGCAAATTTTGAAATTCATAATGACATTAAAAGTGTATTTTTATACCATGATGCGACCCAAAGTCACACGGTGACATATGAAGACCGTGTCTTGGACCTGAAGAATCCAAATGATCATTAAATTTGGGACAGAAATTAATAACCGCAGCTTCCATATATGATCAATTCTGTTAAGATAAGAAATTCGATACCAGGTGAGTATCGATTTTTTTCTATATAGAGGTAAAGTGATGTAAAGTAAAAGTCTTATCTTTTGGTTGATGGTTGATGAACAAATTAAACAACAACAAACAATTTAATTACATTACACATTTTCTACTCCAATATAAATGAAATAACTGTAAATGCTCTGCGTAAATATATATATATATATGTATATAAAGATTTGAAAATCAAGCCAAATACATGCAATTAAAGCCAATAGTCACCGAAAGTTTTTGAACCACAAAACTGAAATCACTAAAATGAAAGACTTTTTGGCATTTTAGCATTTGGCAGATAATGAATAGACCAATATTTCAACAATATGACTCCGCAGAAACCTATAAACATGTACTAAATGAATACGGCAAACAGAGTGAATGTCAAATGCGTATACATACATACACACATACATACGTACATACATACATATATATATATATATATATATATATATATAGATAACTGAGAGTGAATAAAAATTACACATCACCGCGATGTAAAGTTAGATTTTACGTGTCCGATATTTTTCATTAACTCGTATTCGTTGCCCAAAATATATACAAAAAAAAAAAAAAAAAACACCTCTTAAATGATATTAAAATAAATTGTCAATGTAGTAAAAGATAAAATAGCGATAACAACAGCAGCGGTCATCTCCAACGGGGAGATAACTAACACAAAAGCCTTTTATTTACGTACACGTACGGACAGTTGGTTTTTCCTTTTTTTTTTTTTGGTTTTTTTTTTTTTTTTTTTTTTTTTTGCGTTTGTTGTAATTTTATCAACAGAACGTAAAGTTTATAAAAGCTAAAATATTTACACCTTTTGCTGCTTACCTAGACCAGATGGACTCTAATGTGTAATTTTCATTATAATGTACGTTATTCACGTATAATCCGACGCAATTTTATTGGTATTTTGGTATATAATGCTTGTTACTCTGATGCTTTAATTGAAAGTTTTTTTTTTCCTTTTATTGCTCTTGTTTTTATCTGTGTGCATGTATGTATGTATGTTTATATGTATGTATTGTATGCATGTGTTATTTGCGTGTAAATGTTAAAGGCGACTAACAACACAACACAACCAATAGAATAAAAATGGTTTTTAAACAATCATTTTATACACTCTCCACACGTAATCACTGCATTTAATGTTTGTTTATACGTGTACATACGTACGTATATATATATATATAGGGATGTGTTTGTGTGTTTGTGTGTATGTGTATATGAACACGGTAAAAGCAATATTCAATGACATTAAAACCATGTCCATATAAATGCAAAAATGTGTAATTTATTTTTATTACAAACTTTGCCAATTTCATTTCTAATCACAGTTTACCCATCATCAACACAATGGTCCAAATTGGATATTAGAAACACCAACAACAATAGCAATAACAACTAAAACAAAAAACAAAAAAAAAAACAAAAAACAAAAAAACAAAAAAAAAAAAAACAGAGAAAGCATCATCACCAACTACTAACATTACCAACCAACATACAAAGCTATCGTGCTAACAGTAGCTCTTGGTAAGCAGTATATGGCGAAATAAAACTGACATTAAAAGCATTTACACAATTCTACAATTGAATTAAATTGACTGAAGCGGGTGTAGTATGAGTGAAGTCATGATTAAGACAGGCCCTAATGCATATACGCATCCATCCATTTACCCACACACACACACACACACACACGAATGAGAATTGAGCTGTAAAATTAAATATACTCAAGCTTAAAGGATACGCATTTATTAATGAACGACAGGTTGCTTCTACGAGAATAAAGAGAAAAGTTTTCCCACATATACAAACAAAACACACACGAGTCCTGAATGACTAAATACATATATATAATTACGTTACGTTGCAATTCGCAAAAATATTGTGTTTGAAGAAATTGCATAAGATATATTTGAGAGATTTTGACTTATTTTTTCTTTGAGCTTCTTGCCAAGCTTGAAGCCTGAACTATCATTCGAGTTTGGTGGTGTAGGCAATAATCAGTACAGTCGTCTTTCATTCGATCAATCAATTTAGAATCATTTTCTGAATCGATTTAGGTATTACGTACTGTCAGTCAGTTTATCTGGGTAATATCTTATCCATTTTTGTGCTCGACTTATTTGATAAAACCGGACGATCACTCTATACAAAGTGTCCTATTTGCATACATTTACTTATAGGTATTAGGTCATATAAAATGTTTTTGCGGTATCTTTTGCGGCTTGGGGTTAATGCCTACCCGCCACAGCTATGACCAAGTATTGTCTAAACGAAATGGGGTTTGAGCCCGCGAATGCTTAATAACTTCCTTCCCCCTTCTCTTCACGTGAACTGGCCAAAAGGATTGTTAATATGCCTTTCCGCTTAAGAGAATAGAAGAATTTATAATTTTATTGGTCCATTTGTGTAACTTCTACTAATTAATAATGATCAGTGAAATCGATTGTTTGTTGAATAAAAATTTGAATAGACATGTCTTCATATACTTAGGATGTGATGTCTTCTTTGGTTGCCTTAAGTTGTCAAGTTTTGAGAATAAATAGCTAAAAGTCAATAATCGCAGTCTTGGCCAATTAAAATTTCATACCGTAACAATCAATGAGTTGCCAATGAGTATATTTAGGTAATTGCCAAGAAGTTGGCAACAGTTTGCTCTATAAATAGTTGCCACAAATATATGTGGAGTGTCGAGTGTGTGCTTTTTTGAGATAGGATACTCGATATATATTTTAAAGAGCATACGGACAGAACTAAACTTTATATTGGACTTTCAAAGAAGGCAAAAGAAGAACTTAGTTATTATTTAGTTAGAATTTCAATGAAGCGAGTAATTTGCCACAAGCTGTGCTCAAATATTCCATATCATGTCTTTCTATCACTTAATTGCTGGTATAACATTTTAATTAATTATTCTAAAATGATTACTACATACATGGCTGGCATGTCGGCATATTTGATTTATACTTACAGTGAACAACTAAACGCCATTTGTCCTCGATACCACTGCCCTCAATGTATTGATTTTCTGCGCGGCATGTTAAATATTTACCATCATCATCTCGGCTAGGTGTATAGGTTAATATACTTAATGATTGATTGTCAGGTTCATTAAACTGTAAATTAGGTAAAAATACGAAAAAAAAAAAAAATAAATAAATAAATATAATTAATGAATAAACAAATAATGATGATGATACCCCATTCCCATCATCAAAGTAAATATTTTTGTTCATTGTGTACTTTCCATTCATATTGAATGACTTCACTTAATTATATTGTAAATTCCTTTGAAGAAGTAGGATAGGAATTTAGGGTATATTATATTAAATACCTCAAATTAAATCAAGTCTCACTTTTAAGATTTATTCGATTATTAAAATTATTTTAGAAAATATTTGCTTAATTACATAATTACATATGAGTGATTTTCATCGATTTTATGCTTTAAAGAGTTCAATCGTTGCACGTACATTATACACTTAATTAATGCGGTCTTTTATTAATTTCTTATATTATATATGCGTATGAGATTGTTAATATTTTAAAATGAAAAATACTTACATTTTTAGTTAATTTTTTTAATTGTTTATTTCCCTTCCACCAAGTAATTACAGCTTGTGGTTTAGAACCCGAAGATTTGCATTCAATATCATACGTTCGATCAGCTGATACGAATCGATCTTTTGTCATTATATGTACAGCAATAGGTTTCACTGAAAATGAATAGATTTATATATACGGATAAAAACTCATACATAAATATATTATAAATGAAAGATAAAGAAATGGAAACTTTTCGGAATTTGTAAATAATTTCTTGATAGTTTATGAAAATTTTATACTTTTCCCGAATCAGTTAGCAGCGGCTTGGGTTGAATGAGCTTCTCGTAGAGCCTATGATTTTGTCATTCTTTATTCGTTTTGTTGTACCCTATACCACTTTCTTGTAAGGTGTATAGTAACTTATTACGAACGTATGTACCATCTAGGAGGGCTTAAGGTAGACGCACTTTTCATTATATAGATCGATTCAGAATCGTTTTACGAGTCGCTCTAAGTCTGTCTGTCCGTTTGTCCAGGTGATGTTTGTCCATGTAAAAGTGTGTTAAACCTACTGGTCGCAATTTTTCTGACATTTTGATAAAATTTGGTACAGTGACGCAAGGATGGACGCTAAAATGGTTCGAATCGGTTCCCTAAATAATGCGCTCTTCCGAAAAGTTTTTATATGGAAAGCTATTGCAATCTTTCATAAGTTTTTTAGGCAAAAGTCATTAAGTGTTGGTATTTCGGCATTCTAAAGTAGTGTAAACGCTTTGGACCGACTGGGGAAGTTTTTTGAGTCCCCTCTAATATAAACAGTGATTGAAGCTTTATATGATAAAAAGTTCTAATTTGTAATATTTCATGGTTAAAGTTGGCTCGTAATAGTGAATTGCCAAAGAAATCTACCTTACCGAATCTGGATCATATAGGCCTATTTTTTAGATACTATCACATATAAGGATTCTCATGAAACGTAAATGCTTTCGTGCCAAAAAAGTTTATTTGTTAATATTTTTGCGATGAAAATTTCTTCGTGATAGTAATTAAATACAAAAATTAAATGGACCTAATTTGAACCACATGGGTCTAGGGTCCTAGGCCTCACTTCATAAAGTGGTAAGCGGCTAGTGAATTTCGATCACATAGGTTTTATTTTTTATTTTGCATAGGCGCTATCACTTACTTACATGGAGAGAAAGGCCAACCTCCCAATATGCGGGCTTTCATCAAAATGATGACTTTGCATGAAAATAATGTATACTTTTTGATGTATTATAACCAAATCGAACGAATAACTGTACTAAGCGAAGTGGTATAGGTATAGTAATGATCAGCATCACCCGACTATAATGTTCTTACTTGTTTTTGGTTAAGTAAATTATCTTAGTTAAGAGTAAGATCTATAAATATTAACTTCAATCCAAGGACAGACCTTGTTTAGATTATTTATATAAATTACGTAATTTGGAAAAGCATCCCATCATTCTATATAAATTACTAACTAATAATGTTAATTATTTCTTAATTTGTTCAATAGCAACAATATTTATTTACTAATATTTTCGTTATTTTTTTTTTTTTTGTATTCTCAATATCAAGCCATAACATCTTAATAGTTATGCATAAAATGATGAATGGGTAATTCATTCATAATGCTTGGTTTTCGCTACGAGCATATAAAAATGTAAAATAAATTTAACACAAACAGACATATTTCATTTCACGTTAACTGATATTATTGTACTTTAAATTATAAATAGTCATGAATGTTGTCATAGTTTTAGTAGAAAAACAGTCAATGCAGTCTGTCTCTGTTAGCATTAAAAACCAATATTAATGCTACAGGAATTGAGTATCAATGTGTGTATGCAAAACTCTTAAATTATCCTCAAGGCGCGCACACCTAAGTGGGTGCACGCTTGCTATGCTTTTCAGCATATATACATATGTATATCCATTTTATATATGTGTACATGTATATACATATACGTTTATCGTATATCTACATGATGATCATGATGATGATGATGATGATGATGATGATGATATACATTTATAGACGGCTAAAGTGCTAAGCAAGCTTTTTTTCATAGCTACAGGAGCCAGTTCAGGGTAAATAAAAAAAGATACATAAATACCGCAAATCGATACTTACAGTTGACATCCAGTATGACCACTTTGTTATTCGGTGGAGTCAGATTCGTATTGCTCGCCACACAAACTAATCTTGCATTCAAATGTTGTCGTCCAATATTTGGATACGACAAGTGGTTAACGGTCTTACCGTCTGTACGATGCTCAAATGACTCATCAATCACAGAATTATCCAAATACCAAGTCACATTTGGCCGTGGCCGTCCTATTTGAAAGAGCAGCACACATATAAAATCAACAAAGATGACATATCTACGTAAATATGACATATCTATAATACTTTGATAGACACATATACATATATATATATATATATATATATATATATATATATATATATATACATATTAGGTATGGTGGGAATGTATGTTTATTTGGTCTATGTATTCACGATAAGAGTATTGAACAAATAAGAATTATGGGAAAAGGAAATTGAAATTTTTGCTTTGCCGATAAGAAATAAAAAAAAAAAAAAAACAACATTAAAGAAGAAGAGTTCATTATATTACAAAAAAAAAAAAAAAACAAAAACAAAAAAAAAATGAGAGTAATGCGACTTACTCTTCTCCTTTTCGATAACGATCTTTTTCGATAGGAATTTTTTTTTTTTTTTTTTTTTTTTTTTTTTTTGTTACATTTGGATACAATTGTTCAAAACTCTTCACATTTCCGTATGACATTTTTGACCTATTTTATTTTTTTTTTTGTAGTTACTTCATAGCTTACCTCCTGATACTTCGCAAACTAAGACAATATCGCTACCTTCGTTGAAGGTTTCTACATTACTGATTTTTTCATGACGATTTGGCTTATATACAATCGGTCGTTCTGGTGGTACTGCAATGAAAACATTCAAAAACAAAATGAAAATATATGATTAGAAAGAAAAAAAGTTACGTCTGAATAGTAAATTTATTTTTAATTTTTAATAATAATAAAGAATTATAATAATAATTTGTTTATATTTTTAAATAAATATCAGTTTTTTTTTCCATTTTCCATAATAATTTTGTCTTTTCATGTTGCAAATATTATCTGAAATGATTGCTTGCTTTACGATGCTACTTCAAGTCACATCCCTTTCAAGCTTTTAACTATAATTTACTTTCAATCGATTTCGCAAAGCATTGATTTATTATTCATATATAAAATATATTGAATGAATATTTTTCATTTCGTTCTAATTTTGATGGAATCAAAAAAATTAAGTTTCTTTGTGAAATTCAGACGAATTTTAAAACGAATTTTAACAAGTAAAAAAGTGATATTCTTTTATATCCATCAGCGTTATCCTGAAAAACATAAAGAACTAAATTTCCATGCTCTATAATATGGAGTGGGCGCGGCTCCTTTCTATTTTCAAAATAAAAGTTTTTATCGCATAGGTCTTGTAGGCGTGTCCTTGAAAAAATTTAAATCATTTCTAAATTCTTTTGCAAATTTGTACAAGATATCTTCATCTTCGATGACGGGAGAATGTTTACCACAAATACTACACAATTGCGGAGGCAAACAGATGGACATATGCATTCCAAATTTAAAATTGGTCGAAAATTTGTATACTTTGCGGGATTTTTGAAGCTTGTTTCTGCCCCTGAATTTTCAATACCAACCTGCGCGCAAGAATTTCCAATGTTTCTGCCAAACTCGATAATTTCACTTTTGCACCCAGGAGCATGTTCACAGCAACCCTTATACAGACGGACAGACGGACACACTCAAACGAACTTAGAATTTGATGCTGATCACGACTATATACACTTCGTTGGGTCTCTGTTGTTTCCTTCTCGGCGTTGTAAGCGTTTTGGCAATGAGTATATCTTTCATCCTTCGCTGATGGGTACAAAAATCGACGATCACAACAGTTTACCTGTGCCTAAGATGCGTATTGCAAAACAAACAAAATGAAGATAGATATGCCATTAACTTTTCATCTTCCCTCCTCCTACCCTACCTACCCTAGCAGCCTTTTATCCTTTCCCATGGAGAATTAGGAGTATGAGAAAGCCTTAAAACAAAATTCGGAATAGGCAAGCGGTAAGAATTGAACCGAAACGGATAAAAACGAATTATACGCCTTTTCAGCCAGAGCGCATCTTCCTTAATTACTAATTAGTTATCCAGATTAAGGGATGAAGTAAATCCATCTTAACAATAAACCAATAATTCGCACAACGAATCTCTATTTAGGTGGAAATACTAGAAAAACTATAAGTGACGAGGGAAGTATATCGTATATAATAATTACGCGAAAAGAAACACAGAAGAACGCAGAAAATGTACCATATATTTGCAGATATCTTGAAAAAACTCCGGTTGGAACCCGGACTTCACTAGAGTAACTATTATGCAACATAATAACTATACCACAGATATCGCATAGTTGCAAAGTGGTGAAGTTTGGTCAAGTTTTTGAAATGTAGCAGTGCAGCAGCAATACGAAAGATTGACGTACGTAGAAGACTATCGTAACAACAAGTATAATGGGTAATTGTTAGGCATCTTAAAGACACTTACTGGACTTTGGGTTACGGATCTCATTGTAAGTTCACTGCATTGAATTCTTAATCCGACAGCATACCCGATTTAGGGTATACTAATATAACTCGAATGCGAAGTATTAATGCTATCGAGAACAAGTTGCAAAAAAGTTGCAAAAAAAAAAAGAAAAAACATTTCAAAAATGTTGGACATATATAAAACGTTTCGGTAAAGCCAATTCATATAATACTTATGCCACAATGGCTATCTTGTGGTATTTGCATAAACTTGCGTGCGACGCAGTTGAATGAGAAAACAGCATGAAACCGTATATTTACTGCATTTCTTAAAAAAAAAAAAATATATATATATATATATATATATATATGTATATGAGTGTGTGTGTTTGTGTGTGTGTTTGTATGCGTGCGGGTATATATCTCTTTTTATTTATTTATTTATTTTTTTTTTTTGTATAAATTTTCCAATTTTGTAGTCGTTGTTGTTATGCTGGCTGTTGATGACGTTTAACAGCAAAACATTGATATTTTATTTTTCTTCATTTTCTCTGAATATTATTTTGTTTTTTTTTTTTTTTTTGCTTTTTTTATAGTTCAGGTTAATATTTTGTTTTTTTTTTTTTTTTCTTTCTTTTTTTGTTTTTCGTTTTGTTCGTTCGTTGGACTCGCAATGAAACTCGCAAAATCACCGTCACTTTTTAAAATTTAATTTGCTTGTAGGCCGCAATATTGGCTGTGGAATAACAATTTTTCTGGTAAATGGACACGAGCGCATTTAAAACTTTGCAAATATACGCATACAACAACGGTTTACCTGGCATAAAAATGGCTAAGAAGTCTATTTAATATTTGTGCATGCATTTAATAAAAATTGCACTTTAAGAGTAAAAACAAAAAAAAAAAAAAACAAAAATTTTGATTTTTAATGGAATGAGTTCGTCACACATAAATTATGAAACTATATATATATACATATACTATATATATATATATATATATATATATATATATATATACATAGAGTAAGTAAAAGTTTTAATAATAATTTTTTCAAATTTTAAAATATTTTGAAATGATTTTAATATTTGAGATACGAAAGTCACGGAAAGCGTTAATTATTTAAGAAAGGATGAGCCATTCAACGATTTTGTGGTATTACGTTACGTGTCAAAGAAGCTGTTTAATATAATTACCTAGAAATTTATATGAGCACATGGACACGCACATACTTTATTGCTTTAATTTTAATCAAGTTTCGTTCGTTTTAATTGCGGCTATCGTTTTGCTGTTTTATATACTAATAACAAATAATGCTATTCAAAATCTTCTTTTTGTCAATGTGTATATGTGCGATGATAAATGTTTATTATATAAAGAATTGAAAACTTTTTTAAGGATAAATATTAAGCGCACACAAGAGTATCGTGAAATGATGTCAAATGTTTAACGAATTAACAAAAAAAAAAAATATATATATATATATATATATATATAAAGCGACTGAATGGTGCAACATGTCACTGCCAATAAAACCAAGCACTTATTTATTGCCAGAGGTATTAATTTTTCATGGCATCAAGTTATATGAAATGGCAATGTCACGTTGACATGGTTGAGGTTTATTCTTAAGTTCAACACAGACACTTGAGCATTTCAAACACACATGATCAGCAATGGTATGATTATTGACTGCAGTGAAGCATTTTTATATCGACTTTTTTTTTTTCTTTGTGCGACCTTTCGAATACATGTTCTGATCAACGAACATGGCTTTTTTATTCTCACACTTACAAGGTTAACGAATGGCGATTTTTTTATATTAATCCCATCAAAGGGCAGACGTCATTCATAACCGTTAAGCAAGCATTTTTGCTTTCTAAGGGGAAAAAAATTATACTCACCACTCGAAAATATTTGAGTAAGTTATTGGTGTTTTCCGAGAGCGGTGATAAATATATCTAGAAGTTAGCGAATAAAACTCTGATTTTCCCGCTTTAACCTTCACGCAATAGTATAAATTATCTCGTAAAGTCTACAGAGTATAGCTTTTTAAGATCATTAAATGCATCTGTCCAAAGGGGTCAGACATTTGTGGGAAAGTGACCTACTGTGCTCTATTCGTGATGGATGGTAAACAATGCTTACTTTGCGATCTTGAAAGATACTTTACCTATATATATATAGGTATATATGTTCCCATATATATATATATATATATATATATATATATATATATAGGTATATATATAGTAGAGTGTGTAGTTGTGAGGTTTTTTCAACTGATGTGTGGTCAACCCATTTGGGATAATATAATAATAGTGAAAGATCCAGAAATAATAATGTATCGAGCGAGCAGAATTGACTCGGCTCCTTTTCTAAGAGAAAGTGTAGGTAATAATGTAAGAGTGCTGAATAATACTCCGATTATTTTTAAGCCATACGTAATTGTATAAGTTATTCCACACATTTTTTTTTTGCTTTCAATTGATAACTTCTTGTACTGAAAAAAAAAACTTCATTTGCAGGAAAGTTCACTTTTTCGAGGGCAGTTCTGTTAAATCCCTGCAATCGATGAACTATGGATGAATTATCGAAACCCATAGAGTAATGATGCAGAACTGGTGAGCCGTTAAAATCGGCAATCAAGCTGAATATGTATTGCGAGGGCCAACTGGATGTGATATTATGCTTTAGCACTTGGAATGTTTCTCTGCAAAAGAGTTATCCACGAAACAGATAACCTCTCCTTATGGATAACATCCTTCTTTTCAAGCGCCATTGTTACTTTTGTATCCTTTGTTGAACTTCAACTCCGTTTTCGGCAGCGGTTACCGATGTTAACTGTCCCGATGAGTCCCCGTCTCTCTACCTTGGCTTATTGTCTCTCAAAGACAAATACTTAAATGAAGCCTGATATTCAATTTTTTCCCATTTTCACACAATACCCCTTACGTTACCTCATTCAAACGTTTGTCAAATCAAAGCCGCGCGCATATTTGTGATGGCATATACAAATATGGTCCCAACTTTTGTGGACTAGTGCTGCCATCTTTACGCTTAGGTGGAAAACTTTTCAAAGAACTTTACTACTGCTTTTTGATCCAAAATAACCTTATCACTAGTCGTAAGGAGCTGAGAAAGTCAATTATTCCAAAAGTCATTATTCCCCAGGAGAACTTGAGTTGAAATCTTTTGTCACAATTTACAAAAAGTTGTACGAGGATTTATAAATAAGTTTGAGACAATGATTGTTTAAGACTCACACCTGGGCCAAGAGTTCTCGTGGTGCTCTTATTTATTAAGAGCAATTTAAAGAGATTCTCTCAAGTAAATTAA